TTGATCCAACAAACTGACATGAATTTTCATTCTTATCTCAAACCAGAGTCAGACTGTCAGAAATCTTACCATTTTCACCATTATTAGAACCAGTACCATTATGATTTTCACCATCTGAATTTTCAGAATCTGAATCAGAATATTCTCCAAGAGCGGATAAACCAGCTGAAAAAAGATTGCCAAAATGAGATTCTGTGAACAATGTGCTAAGACAGTGTAGCTTGTTGAATGAAATAACTTTGTATGCTTTGTAGGAAATATACAGTGTTAAAATACATGTGATTGTAGTTGTATTTGAATTATTTGGTATAGAACGTAAAATATTTTACCTGGCTTAGTTTTACTTGAACTTCCAACTTGCATCACTTTACCCTTTCTAGCTACAAAATTAATAACAGAATATTCGTTAATTTGATTCCATCCAAATATCCCAATACAAAGTAATTTAACAATTTTTTAAGCATTCATACACCAGAACCAGAATATAAGCTTACAAGTAGAATCAGAAAATTAAAAATTAATGCTTTTAAATGCATTGATAAAATTGCCCACGACTTAGTTGTTCCTTTCCCTATCTGATACCAATATTTGCAAAAACTTTATTTTATACATTGTTTAAAAAATAGTGATTGAACATTAATTTTGAATATTACAGATCTTACCTAAAGCAGTTGTTTCATTATCACCTAGTTGTAGTACCTGTCTTCTACCTCCTCTCATCTTACCAGAATTCAACATCATTAACTTTCAATATCACTTCATTTACAGTCAACTGTCACTTTGACTTTACTTAAATTGACAAATTTACACGTTAGGCTATTCATGATCATTATAGCCTATAGATAGGTCAAGTTAAAAATATTCCCTACAAAATGACAAGTTTAAAGAATTCTATTTGCAAGGTTTCTTACACATGTCAACAAGGTTTGGTCAACTGTATGATTGGTTAACTGATAATTATTCCCAACCCATTTTCCAGCATAGTAAGGACTGATACTGCCAATAACAGAGTGATATAATAGATTCCTTGCTAGTTGTTATGAAAACGTCATTGCCATTATAATCATATCATATAGGTGACACTGCTAAATTGTCATTATAGCTTCACATGCAGATATTCAGAGTGGCATGGCTTTAGATAACTGAAATATAGGATACAATTGTTTCAATATGATTTCATAGACCTACTGTGAATTATTTTCTTGATTAGGCTGACTATAAGTTTCACAAGTCAGCCATCTTGGTAATATAATTAGATGTATATCAGCACGACAATTACGTTCTTATAACAGGAATATCAACGCAGTAAGAATGACGTCATTGTGATGAATTCAATTCTTTAAAAAATAACTTCTTGACAAACATGAATTATTATATCAGAGGCCATGACAATGTAAAAAATATTCTTCTTATAGTTTTCGTCCAATTTGAATAGAATAAAGCACTTTGCTTCTTTCTTGCATAACTTTATCGGTATTTCGCATAAGTCGTGTGATTAGGTTTGCTGTCAGAAACATGCATGTTTGATTGGATCAAATAAAAATAGAACCCAGTCAAAACTGATTTCATACACTTCCGGCTTAGGTTTGCACTTGGCTGTCGATAAAAATATGCTTATATGGCAGGGTTTGCTTATTAATTTCAAAAACTAAAGGAAAGGAACGAATATCAGTTTGATTTAACATGACGTAATAGAATAATACTCATTAAAATAATAAAGATAAACAATAATGCATTATGCGTAGGACATAAAATTCCATTTAGAAGCTGTGACAATGGAATATGGAAAAATACGTTGTGCCAAAAATTTTAGCCATTTTAAACCCATGTCACCAAAGTATCAATAAATTGATGTAGAAAAAAAATCTACATTTTGGTGCATAATTTTCGTATGTGACCCAAAGAGAACTGTCACGAAATTTCCAGATGGAATTTGTACAGAAGCAAAGTATAATGTACATTATTGATTAGTAGTCTAGATTTCCAAGACTGAAGATTCTGTAGACGTTTTATAATGAAAGTCATGATAATCGAATCTAAAGATGCAGAATAATATGATGATTTTTGGACCAGTAACGATCGGATAAATGCTCCACTTTTCATAGACGACAATAAATGAATGTTTAGCTCTCGAGTCCATCTTACTTATGGCATAATTTTAATAGAATTGGATAGTCTTTAGTCTTCAAAATGATGAAGGAAGGAGATGCAAGGTTGTTGTTGGAGACAAACGAAGAGGATCTTTGCATTTTTCTGGAAAAAATCATCTCCGAGGTAATTATTCCGTGCGTGTTGAAACGGATTCTGGGGTAAATGACGTTTGATACTGTTAAATGTTACCGTTACATTATCTTTTTGTCTAAATGCTATGGTCCAAAAGTACGCATGCATAATCCACTCTGGCAAATATGCAGGATTTGGAAATTGCGTTTGATAATTGGTTATGAAATGCCAATATGTTTTGATTTGTTTGAAAGGTTTAGAATAACAATATCCCACAATTTACGTCACTACGCCAGTAAAGGTCAAATTACAGCTGCACAGATTAATGTCAAGGCAAAATATTCCTGATTTTTTTCTTTTACCAGAATTGAATAAGTCCTCATCAACAAATGCCTGTTTTATTGATGTTTGATTCATTAACACTATGAAATGATTCTTTTAGTTGTGTGATTTCATAATTTAAGAAGACCTAAGTCTGAAAATTTTGCATGCATACATTGGTAATAAAAGATAGGGACTGTGAAATAATGGCAGAACTATGCAATTAACTATAAGCCTTTTAAGGTCGAGTTGTTGTTAAAATAAGTAACTTTTTCCCCAAGCACTTAACAGAACAAATTCTTATGTTCCCACTGGATTCTTCTAAAGCCAAACCATTGTAAGGCTTAGCCACATGTTACACTAACAAAGATGTATTGTTAGTGAGTAAGTATTGTCCCCTGCTTGCTTATAATGATTTCCCTAATGGAAAAAAATTCAGATTCCTCAGGTAGTGCTTTCAATTTTCTCTAAATATTTCTTGGTCACTAGAATATGTTTCTTTAAAATGAAATCTTTCAATATTGTGTATGAGAGATAATGATATAAAAGTGTGAACCATTATTATTGCTATTTTGTACAACAATGTTACAATGTATATAAATACATATTAATATTAGTTACTAAAACTTATAGAATAGTACTATGTTGCGCCTATTTGAAGCAAAGTTAAAGTGGCACAGGATTTCAACTTTCAAAGTCTTTTCACAATGGAAAGTTTCAAATGTATTTTGTAAGAGAGATAATGGTATTAAAGTATTAACCATTGTTATTTGTATTTTGTAAGAGAGATAATGGTATTAAAGTGTTAACCATTGTTATTGCTATTCTGTACAACAACACAATGTAACAAAGTATGATACACATATATTAGTAACAGTTACTAAAACTTATAGAATAGTACTATGTTGCACTTTATTTCATGCAAAGTTAAAGTTGCATTTCCACCTGATTTCAACTTTCAAACTCTAAGTGTTTTTAAAATGAAACTTTCAAATATATTCAGTATGAAGGGTGATGATATTAAAGTTATGAACTAATGATATTGATATTTTGTACAACAATGTAACAATTTTTATAAACACATATTAATATAAGTTACTGAAACCAATAGAATAGTACTATGTTGCACTTTGTTTGATGCTGAGTTAAAGGAACATTTTCATGCTATTTGAATTTTTCATGAATTGATAGTTGAAGTAAGTGGTATAAGGTGAATTCTAGAAAAACAGAATTTTTTTAAAAAAAATTGTATTAGCTTGAACATGTATTACATCTGTCACTTATACAATGAAACACAGCGCAAATGTAGTTAATTTAGTTAAGGAGATATTGAGGAGATGATACCAAATGCTATATTTTTTTTCTTTTCCAGAATGCCCAGGTTTTCTCTTTCCCTGATATGAGTACACAAGTCAAAACAGTAAGTATTAATATGTCTTTATATATTTGTAAGTTCTTATAGTTATCAGTTTTGTTGTTCAATCTTTTATTTTTAAATTAAAGCTTTAAAGAAATAAATAAACCAAGTACTGATGATTCGAACCGCAAAATATAACCTGAAATCTAACATTTTGGCCAAACATTGGTAGCAGCTAATGAACTTTTCAGATGAGTTGGCAATCCCTGCCTGACGTCACCCCCATCACAGCTTAGAACCACATTTCATGAAGAAACATTTAATTTTTGTATATATTGATATATGTCGGACATAGTTTTTAGAAGTTGCCTTTTTTTTTCAGAAATGTATAGAAGCTATATTAGAAAGATTACGTGGTAATTTATCATCAAGATGTATATTACTATGTCTACAGTCATTAAGAATATTTAGTCGAGAGAAAGAAAGGATGGAGACGTTGGTATCAGATGAATGTATTAGATTATTAATGAGTTTAGCAGGTCTAAATAATTACCCTGAACAAGAACAGACTTGTACCATACAGTATGGTGATCAAGATGGTAGGTTTTTCATAGTTTAAAGGGATTGTAAAGAGGTTTTTCTAAGCTTTTTATGTGTATACGGAACACTGATAACATTGATTTGAAACATTTCAATTTTCATTCAGACGTCTGTGGTGCTTGCATTTTCACTAAAACAAAGCATTTTATGACTTCGCTTTCGTAAACAGATTCGTTACTAAGAGAGTGGGGAATAGGGGTATAGATATGATTAGCAACTTTTGATATAGTGATGTCAGAAAAGGCTTTGTGGGTCTTCCTGCACAGTTACAATTAAACTTATTATTGGAAACAGATGATTTTCCATGCTGTGAAAAATTCAAGATAAATCTAACTTGTATTTCTTAGATTTTTATTCTGTTTTAACAAAAATTGAAGATAAAAATATCGGCTTCAAACAGTAAGAAATAGTGCTATAATCATAAAAATTTCAATATGTCCTTGACCCCATATTGTCTAATTCACAACAGAAGTGAATTCATGTGTTGTTTTTTTTTTCAGTGATTGTTGAAGCCCAGAAATGTTTATGTAATTTAATATTTAATAGTAAAGCTGTTCAGAAACTATGTTGGTAAGTACATTCTAGCTACAGCATTCAGGAGACAGGGTTTGAGGTCATGGTCACTTATTTCTTGCTTAACATTGTGGATGTGTGAAATTTGTATCCTTTTGTAGGGTGTCTTCCTGTATCACTCACCACCCACCCCTAAATTAGATCCATTTTGCTCTTTCCCTAATCACCACTTGCTACTTTGCCCCTTATACATATCGCTCCATTTTAAATGAACAAATGGAAATCTGGAGCTAAAACATACCCAGACATAAATTTGAGTTTTTTTTTAGATATTCAATACACAAATAACTCCCCTCATGAGCTGTTGTAGCTGCAAAATAGCAACTTTGCTTTGATTATTTGTTCATCTCAAGATGATGGATTTCAGCATGCAAATATTCAATTTGAATAAATTAGGTTTGACTGAAAACTTTGAAAACAGGGTTGATTCTCAGCTGATGAGATACCACAGTCAATCACAGAGGTTCTTAAATTAAGTTTGTGATTTCTTATTGGTATATATTTCTATTTTTTAGTCGGTCCGGCTGTGTGGATGCTCTAGTACAAAGATTGAAGACATATGGTGATCCAGAATTAAGATTTAATGTTAAGGTAGTTATGTTATTGACTTCTTTATTTTTAAGATAGTGAGTCTGATGCCATCATCTTTTCAACACTAATACTTACATTTTACCATGTTTGAAAATGTGAAAGAAATAAATTGGATTTTATTTTTCAGTTTTTTGATATGAGAATGTTGTTTTTACTGACAGCTTTACCTGCATGTATAGAAACAAGGTAAGAACATAGACAATTCTCAAGTTATTCATGGTAATATGTGATTAGTTACCTTTATGTTTAAAACCCTTTCAAAGCAAGTCAATTGGTTGATTTGAGACTTGAATATATGAAAATAGTACTAGAAATGTACGAAAATCGCTCAAGTAATTTAAAAATACTTCAATCTAACAATTTTACTCACTATTTTTATATATGTCTTTTCTATATATCACCGAGTATCTTAAAATGACGAGTCATCTTTTAAACTTTAACATGCGTTTAATTCTACACACATTGATTTGAAGCTCAAATTTTGATGATGAGCTTTGAATACTATTACTGATAAGCTAAGCTAAGCTTATAAATTCCGTGACTAAGGTACTTTCAGTCAAAAATATTTGCTCCATTTGCCACAAGTATCACAAGTTTGAAATGCTAAGACATATGGAAGCTTGCGCACTGGAAAATTTTCCCAATGTATGTATTAAAAGGGTATTCGGCATTCCCCAATATGGTGTATAACAGTTGAACATTAAACTCCATTCCATTTCAGACCTAAAATTCGACATGAATTACATGGTTTTACGTATTTAATGGAAGTATTAGATCTGACATTACGGGCTGCAGAAGAAAGAAAGGCTGGGTTAGGTGATCAAGATGTAGAACTCTGTTCAGAAATATTAAAGATTCTGTTTAATTTAACTATTGAGAAAAAATCAGCTGATGAGGTAAGATTTGTAGCCATATTGATGAGATGTAGGTGTCTAGATAATTACTTTACCATCTGATCAAACTCCTACACATAACTAATATATTGTGACAAAAACTGCAAGATTGTTAAATGCAATCTGGAACCTAATCACAGTTCAGTTGCAGGGGAACCTGACTTAAAAGGATACTTTTGAAAAGGGATACTAATAGCTTTCATTCTTAATGTCCTATGTGAGTTTGTGACTCATTCTAAGCCATAAGTTTCAGTTTTAAAGATTATGTCTAAATACACAGAAACAAAGGTCGAAATTAAAGGAGCAAACATGATGAATGATTTTGGTCAAGATTTTAGGTTATTACAGAACCTACAAGTGTCTACAATGGCTAATGTCTATTAAAACCTATTGTGTATAATGTATTTTAGGAAGAAGAAGCTCATTTTATGAGGTTAGTGAGTATATTACGTGATTTACTCATGTGTTCAACATTATCTAAAGATAAACAAGAAGATCTTCACAGGTAAATATATATTTCTTTCAGAACATCAGATATCAAGTCACTTTAAGAAATCACAGAATATCAGGACATTTCTAAACATATATGAACAAGTGAATAAGGAACAATCTAGTACACATTGACTTCAATTAATTTGTCTACTCTTCCACACAAAGAGTTAAAAAAAGGCATATGGTTGAAATCAAGAATATCCATAGGATAATTTCACTTTTTCGTAAAATCTCCATCGGCATACACATAGGAAGATGCTTAGATGTTATGTTTTGCATTAATTGGAAAAAGAAAAAGATAGTTTCACCATCCTAACAAAATTATCTCCTTACACAGCATTGAAACATTGCATTGCTTTCTACAAACTTTCATAGCATTTAAGCTATTCAATGTTGATGGTTGTTTGTTTATTTCAGTCATACAATAAATCTACTGATTAATATACCAGTTGATTTCTATGAAGAATTATTAACTCCCCTTAATGAAATAGAAGTTAGGGGTATGGAGAATAAAGAGGTGGAATATGATGGGAAAAATATGGAGGCAATAATAGTCTTACTTAACTTTCTCGATAACAGATTAGACCGGGTAGGTGTTTTTTACTTGATAACAGATTAGACCGGGTAGGTGTTTTTTACTTGAGAACAGATTAGATCAGGTAGGTGTTTTTGACTTGATAACAGATTAGACCAGGTAGGTGTTTGTTAATTGATAACAGATTAGACTGGGAAAGTGTTTTTGACTTGATGATAGATTAGACCGGGTAGGTGTTTGTTAATTGATAACAGATTAGACCGGGAAAGTGTTTTTGACTTGATAACAGAGTAGATTAGACCGGGTAGGTGTTCATTCTTGAAACCAGTATGCCTTAAAAAATACCATACAGCCAGGCCTTCAATTAAGCAACCACCTGAGCACTTATAGGAATATTGTTTTGCGCCTGCTAAATACAAGTTTCATTGTAAGAGATTTGACCATGTAGGTGATCTATAGTCTAGCATGAAAATCTTCATTTTTTAACATGCTAACCATTGTATATTATTTTACAGCCTGCCAAAAGTTTAAAGGAAAGTTTAACACCAATTTTACATTGTTTATGTGAGGCTTGCCGTAATATCCGACCAATCCGTAAATTCTGTCGAGCCAAGGTATGATATCTTAGTTACTATTGAAACTATGATTATTCTTGAGTATTTTATTTTTATGTTAAAAAAGATCTGCCAGATTGGTGAGGGATAAGCTTTTGTATTTCCTGTATGATGTTCTAGTAAAAATAAAATATTATTTATATTTGTGTTGATGTTGTAGGTGCTGCCACCATTAAGAGAAGATGTCAAGAGATTACCAGAAGAAGGCAATTCTTTAAGAAACAGGTAGGGCTAAGTGCTGGATTTTGAATAGGTTCTAGCTCCCTCGAAAAACCAAGATGGAAGAAAACCAGGTTCTTTTCGTCTTGTTATATTATCAAATTACATGGGAGTGTAACTTGTACAAATAGAAATGCAGACGGATGAACAACAAGTAATTCAAGGGAGATAATTTTTATATTTCAGATTATGTAAATTATTAACCTCTCCAGTTACAGAAGTTAAAGATTTAGCAGCACATTTTCTATTTGTATTATGTAAGGAGAATGGTAAGTTATGTTCTGTAAAAATTTTTTGATGAGATAAGGCTGTTTTAAGGACCTGCTGTAGCACATTCATTAATGGAGTTGGAATTCTAGTGGCCTTGGTTTATAACATCTTCCTCATTAGCCCAGTAAGCCCAGCTGTAAATGGGTATCACAGACAGATCAATGTCATGTTGTTATCATTTAATGATTAATGTAGGTAAAGCCTATTAATTAATATATTTCTATACTTGTAGTAACTCGTATGGTGAAGTACACAGGCTATGGTAATTGTGCTGGTTTATTGGCTCAATTTGGTTTACTCAAACTTGATCAAGCTAATATCAGGGGAGATTACTCTAGTGATTCAGAAGACTCAGACACAGAAGAATATTCTGAACTACGAGACAAGTTAGTACTTGTTTTTATCATTTTTATGATGACTTGATCTATTTTAAGTCTAAGTTTTTCATGGGCCATTTTCAATAGAAATTTCTCATATAGTTAAATTAGTGTAGGGTCTATGTCAAGTGCAAACTTATAAAACATTATTTCTATAAATGCATAATTTCTCAAAGATTATCCATATGAATTCAAAACTGCTACAAATCAGGATTTTTTGTTCCTTGCTTTTCTGTTTGTGACTCCACTAGCCATCCATACTATGACAAAATTACTAGACATCTCATGTTCTAGGTTATTTAATATTAAGTCAGTCAAGAGCTCTGATCAATGATAGATTTTCTCACCATATTCTGGTACCTGTGTTGCCCAATCTCTTTTAAGAGAATTTTGAATGCATAAATTCATTTCCATATTGAGAGTAAACCTTACTTCTTATATACACTTCTTCCATTTTCCATGTGTTGATAATCCCACATTGCACAGGACCACATTGAATTGATTTGTTGTGTTTTGACACATATTTTGAGGAAAAAACTTATTATTAAACTGTAACCTGTATTTACAGAGTGAATCCAGTAACTGGGTGCTATGAAGAAAGTAAACCAGATCCAATGGCTGGTATGTCAGATGAACAAAAAGAATATGAAGCAATGAAACTACTTGATGCTATGGACAAACTTCAGAGGTAAGATTTTTATTGAAACTTAAAACTGTTTCACTCAACTTAAACTTGGATACTATTAAGATATTAAGAAATACAGTAATCTATATGGTTTATAATTTAAATTGATTGTGGTGATTGACCAATCAAGTGAGTGGAACATGACTGGAAAGTCATGGTTTTTATGAAACTAGACCATAATATAATGAAAATCCAGCATTTTTGTTTTTTATATTTTCTGTGCAATCCTTGTACTCTTTGCCATCCATAATCCAAAGAATTGCTGTGCTTCATGACATTTCAATTTTATAACCAATCAAAAATATTGTTTGATAAGCTTTATCACATGCATGGATTGATGAGATGTTCATCAGAGAATATCTGATTTTTATATCAAAGGCTTTATTTTGTATGACTCGTACACCTTTTAGATACAAAGATAAATGTATGTAGTTATCAGTGTTTTATAAAACTTATTTTAAGTAAGAGAGATATTTTCAACTATCTGTATCACTTAGAAAGAACATACAGCATTTGGCTCATCAACAATCGAATGAAAATAATGTTTTATTTAATTGCTCATGAACTTTTAGTCGGATTTTCATTCTGAAAGTGATAAAAATTGTTGAAATTGACTGTGACACGAAAAATTTGATTAAACAATGCTAATATTTCTTCAATAATTTTATTTCTATTTTTAGACAAGGTATCATACAGCCAAGTCGTATTGGACCTGATGGTCGTCCAATACCAGTATCACATGTGCTTGAACTCACAGAATCTCAAGGTGCTGCTGCCAGTAATAATGACACCCAGAATAGTGACTCCAAGTAATGACTCACTGAATATTGACTCTATGTGATGAAATCACCTCTTTAATGAAAACCATGAGTCATTTCTTTGGAAGAGTCACAATTATTGACTTTCTTAAGATGAGTCACATCTACTGTCTCTTTAGACAAGTAAAATGAGTCAAAATAATTCACTGTCTTTATGTGAGTCCCAATTGTTGACGCTAACTAATGAGTCATAACAGTGACTCATTTGTGAAATATATTTCCTTACAGATTTGTAGGCATATTTCATCTATTCAAACTATGGAAAGCTGTCTCATTTGCCAATTTTCATCTTCACAATGATCAAGGTATTACATATTCATCTTATACCTTGACTGCAATGGCCCAATTTCTTGTTTCATGAAAGTATGTGAATGAATGCAGCAATTTGATTGGATTGTACAGCCTTGAATACAGCCAATCTGATCCCTTGACAGAAAGACTAAAAAATGATTATGCATTAATTGAGGGCTCTGGTTGGCTGTATTTGTTGGCATACAATCCAATCAAATTGTGACCTAGAAACAAGAAAGTGGACCATTGCAGTCAAGGTATAAGATGAAGACGTAATACCTTGACTATTGTACAGATGTCCAATTTATAACTTTAACACTACAAAAATGTTTGCTTTACTATAGCCTCTTGGATTGGGGTCTTGAATTTTTTGTGCTTAATTGTGGTCACATTTTTGTCATCAAATAAATTGTTGGGAGGAAACAAGAATGCTCATAACAAAAAGGTGTATAATCTTCTAAATATTTACTTTCTCCGCTTATAAAACTCACTTTATGCTATCTTTGACACTGTGGCAATTAATATGAGACATCTAGTTTGGCTGCATTAAAAACAAATTGTGCTGATGAGGGTTTTATATCTGCAACAAATATGGATAGCATAATAAGTGCTTGAAGATCTAAAATATATAACACCGTGCTATATCAAATAATTATTCAGCATGATAATATGTAAATATTGGAAACATTCAGCTTTAGTTTTTAGTTTAGATTTATGAAAGATTTCAATTGTGTTGATCTTTGAAAAAAAAAAAAATTTTTGTGTTATTTCATGAAATTTTTTGATAATTCAGAGCAATTTTTGAATTTTTCATTGAAATTGGTTATGAAATTTCATTGCAATTTTTAGAATATTGAAATTTTCAATGATAATTCATTAGTGAAATTTTCAAAGAAATCTCCAAATGAAATTTTTGAAATTCTCTAGATGAAATAAATGAAATTTTCAAAAACAACATTGTGGAAACTTTCTGTGGTGCTCTTTTGTATCATACTATATTATTAGTAGTAGTTTAGAGTTTTGTTGAGATATTAAAGATATTTGTGTACATCTGGAGACAATTCAAAATATATACTCTGTTAATGGATACAATAAGTAATTAAAGATGGGTTTCCTTATTTTTTAGTGTCAAAATAAGCAAACTAATTTATTTATAAATTATTAATTTAAATTTTGATTTATTGGTGTTTCTGATGAATTATCATGTATTCTTAATCATATCATTATGTTCTTATTGTATATGATTAACAGTTTTAACCAATCATAAATGTCCATGTATTTACAGTCTGGATAAACAAAAAAAGACATTTGGACCTTTCTTGGTCGATCACTCATTGGAATTCTGCTGGTAATTCTCCTCTAATTTAGATAATTATGAATTTATTATGGACATGTGAGACAAACTGGTATTTTTCCAAGTCATTAGAACACCTCTACTTTCTATTCATATAATTATTAGCATTTTCATTTGCATAAAAAAGGGAGCCCATTTTTAAAGGTATTGTAGAGAGTTTTCAAACTTTTTATGAATAACAGGCGCACTGACAACATTGATTTCCACCATTCCAATTTTAGTTTTAGTTCTTACAATTCCACTAAAACTAAGTGTCGCTATCGCAAAAGCCTTTAGATATCTTAGCAGCTTTTGCAATCTCAAAAACATTTTAGGTTTTTAGTGGAACTAGAAGAACTACGGACATTGTGACTGATAATTGGAATGGTATTATTCGATACTATCAATATCCCTGTTACACATAGAACTTTTTTGAATCAGTCCTGGATGTGCTCAGAATTTTTGGCTCTTGTTTATGTTTTCAATGTGCTGGATTATTCTTGTCTTATCTTTGTAATATAGTTAATACATGTGTGTTTTGTTTATTATAATTCAAGCCAATATTACTGCATATTATGATCATATATATATAATTATTTCACCTTTGACCTCATGTTTATCATATAATTACACATATTGCTGTCACAAATTATTTAAAGGAACACAACCTCTCAAAATAGACATTTAATTTAAAGTCTCAAACTTGGTCAATAAGAGTATATATTCATCAGTGGACTGCCCTAAAATCATTTTAACTAAGTAATTATTGAAAATTTTTTTGAATGATTACTTAATTTTATGGGTTTATGAGAGATTTTAATGGGATTCTGTGGTATAATTATTATACCAGGTAATTCCACTAAATATAGAATTTTGGCTAAGTCGGAAAATTTCAATTTTTTTGGGCATCCTAAGGGGTAGTTTTAAAGATGCGCATACATGTAAGTAAAAATCCAGAGTTGAGCCTAATTATGACAAAAAACATGGTTCTTGTACAAGTATCTTTGTCCATCTCTAACTTAATCATTGGTTGTTATTTGATCATTAGTTATTATTCTAGACCATAATTGTTATTAACCTCACCTAAAGGTTGATAAATAACATGTTTGGACTTGTTTGATAAATACTGATCATCTGTGTATTATACTTACATTTATCATGATATAAAGCAGTATTTTTCTGTCATTTAAATTTTGTGAATCAGTCAACTTTGAATATATTCAGATATTATCTAAATATTTTCTTTACCAGCTGAAATAGCTCAATTTAATCTATCCATAACACTTTTCAAAATGAAAATCTAAAGTTCGGTCCCTCTACCATTGAGAAAACTGTATAGAAATGTTACTGAGAATATTTTATGTTTAAGAACATTATAACATTTTAACATTTTAACATGCAAATATTGTTGTTAGTATGTGAATACTAATACTTAGTACATTTAAGTTATTTGCAGACAAACTAGATGTCAGGTCTTAATTTTGTAAAGTGATACAAATAGCTATTATAAAACTGGTAAGGCAAATATCCAAAAATGCAGACTCTATAATATTTGATCTACAAGTCAAAAGCCAATAATAAGATACATAATGATTATAAAATAACAAAATGATTATAAAACAACATAATAATTATAAAATAACATAATTGTTTAATATTGTCCATAGCTGTGATATTTATTTCTATTTTGTTTTTTCTAGTAATTTTATGTTTTTATCATATATATATAGGCTAAATTGTCAGATTTTTTGGGGTAATTTGTGCTTTTTTGCTATCTTTTGATGTAATTTACTGTGAAAAATAACTAAATCTGGCAAGTGCTAAGTATTGCCAATCATGCCAGTATAAGATAGACTACTTTGCCATACATTTGTTATAATACATTGCCATACAATATTGTGGTGATACATTATCAAAATATATAAGTATTGCCAATCATGACATGATAGGATACATTGCCATACAATTTTTCGATACATTGAAATAAAACCGTGGCGATACATTGCCATACAATTGTTGTGATACATTGTCATACAATTGTTGCGATACATTGGCATACAATTGTTGCGAAACATTGCCATACAATTGATGTGATACATTGCCTTACAATTGTTGCGATACATTGAAATACAATTGTTGTGATACATTGCCAATTGTTGTGATACATTATTGTTGCGATACATTGAAATACAATTGTTGTGATATATTGAAATACAATTGTTGTGATACATTGCTATACAATTGTTGCGATACATTGGAATACAATTGTTGTGATACATTGAAATACAATTGTTGCGATACATTGAAATACAATTGTTGCGATACATTGAAATACAATTGATGTGATACATTGAAATACAATTGTTGTGATACACTGCTATACAATTGTTGCGATACATTGAAATACAATTGTTGTGATACATTGATATACAATTGTTGTGATGCAATTGTTGCGATACATTGAAATCAGTTGTTGCGATACATTGCCATACAATTGTTGCAATACATTGAAATACAATTGTTGCGATACATTGAAAATTTTTCTGAATTATATGTAAACACACCGCATTTTACTCTGAATGTCTCTTATAGTTTTGTATATAGTGGCATTTTGTATTGCAATGTATGACTTCACCTTATGTAGCCATTGGTGATACGAAGGAATCAATTAGCTATCAGAAACTTTCCTCTAATTTCTTTAGTGTATTTCAGATGGATGTCGGCCAGCTATGAATTTGACTCTTACATCACAAACTTATTTGTTTTGCTTAATGAATGGTGTATTTTGAAATGTCCTCTCGGAGGATTTTAACCTCTGGCTTCTAAAATTCATTCTGTTGAAAAATTTTGCTCAAAATTCTTTGTTAACTTCAAAGTGTTGTGACAAATTAAATGTTATATATTATGTCAGCCTATGTATATGCTTATTATTAAGTTTGTTTTGTTAAGTTGCTAGATTATGAATTAGGACCATCATAATGGACTAGTCAATATAGACCTATGTTTAATGTATATTATGTATTCTTTTGTTGTTTGTAAATATATTATATATATTAAAATCATAATGCATCTATAAAATCTTTGTCTGTAAACTTAACATTTTAGGAGCTTCAACATTGCCTCATATGACCACTACCAATCGGCAACTGTTTTAAAAGCAAATTCATTAGTCGCAGTAGTAGTAGTAGTAGTAGCGGCCCTAGGGTACAAATGGGTGGACAACTGTCGAGGCTAAATTAAAAAAAGAATATTTTCGAAAAATAAAATTGATTTGGTGCATTTCTGACACATAATTTGGAAAAATTTGTTAAAAATGAAATGGGGGGTACAAACCATTTTTCTAGCCCTCGCCAATGATAAGATGTCGTAGAGATAAGGAAGACTAAATGCAGCGATTTGTCTTTCAGATTTTCCATAATCAGAAATCGTTGAAAATCTAATTGTTCCATATTTCTGCAAGTTTGATTGTCCAGAGCAACGCTATTTATTACATCTTCCTAGTACGAACAGAGACCACAGAAAAGAGGTCATGACCATCTTGTTGATCTTGTTGGGACACATGGAATCATTGATTAAAAAATGGCCTTTCTGAGTTTGAAATGATACAATGCTTTACTGGAATTTTTTTATTTGTGAAGTATTGAGGATCAAAAATTAGATATTTTGGACAATTGACAACTCAATCACATTTTTCAAAAGACTATTTGATATTATAAAAAGGAAATATTTCAGAAATATATGTAGAAAACATAACTTCAAGCCTGAGCAACCTTTGCCTTATTAGCATTTCCCAATGTCGCATCCCAAATTTTTTGCTTGTCCTGAGAGGATTGGAAGGGTACACTCTTCTGTTTATCGTGTGGAACTCCAAACATTGCTTCCCCCAAGTCTTCACTAAGAGTTGCTAAGATCTTTGGTTCTTTATAATGTGTTACAGCTTGTGCCATGGCTTTGGCACGTTTGGTAGGATTAGAACTCTTGAAGATGCCGGAACCAACAAAAACGCCATCAACTCCCAGCTGCATCATCAGTGAAACGTCTGCAGGTGTTGCTGGAAGGAAAAGACTAGGATAAGACAAAGAAAAAAAACCTCAAAGCTTCAAAGCTAGGACTCTACCGATCACATCTTATGGGAGATGCTTAAGTCCATTTGTGTTTGACTATTTTTTGAGAATTTCTCACGACAAAAGCCAAATTTGGCAAATATTTTGGTATCGATATAAAGCGATCAATTAATCAATCCATTAACTTACCGATTCCACCAGCAGCGAAATTAACAACTGGCAGTCTACCCAGTTCAGCTGTTTTCTTCAGCAGGTCCACTGGTACTCGAAGTTCTTTAGCATAATTATAGATCTCTATATCGTCTAAGGATTTAGCTATCTGGATCTGTTTACTGATTGTTCTAGCATGTTTTACTGCTTCTGATACATCACCTGGGAAATGATACTGATTTTGTGACTTTGAAGATTTCTCGCTGGCATTGTTGGACACTGTACACGGCGGAATCTCATTATTGATGGCTCATTGGAGCTCCTTAAGAAATGTATCTCAAATTTTCAAAGGACAGAAAAGAAGCTTGTTGAAGAAAGTCAAAGTCATATGCATTATGCATTGGATTGGCTAACGAAGACAGCTGACTGCAGTATGAGGTTAGAAATCTTTGGACATTTGGGTAGCCGAGAGATCTGTAATGGGCACCAGTGGAGCATAGCACACGTCTTTTCGTCTTTTTTACCGAACTAGTTGGTCGGAGGTCAAGTAAGGTCTTGTGGCGAGAAATTACCATATTAGCATTTTCACCAAGGGTAGGGCCATGTGTGAGTTCTTTCACTTTACTCTTACGTATGTTTTGTACAGTAAAGGAAAATTGACCCCATGTTCAAAACTGTTGTCACGGCGTTTTATATCATGCTAGTATGAGATAGCCTCTGCTAAGTTAAACTTGTTTCATTCTAACGACCCCGGTCATTGGGCTCTTACTGGAGATGGTTCCTTCATGAAGGGCCAAGCTGCCAGATGATATGTTAAGACAACTGAAAGTTCCCAAGGATCATTGTATTATGAGCTGAGCATTATCAAGATCTTTAATCCATGGCTAAAGTAACAAAATAACAAGACGTACCTGTACCAGCTTCACCTTTAGTTCTTATCATTGCTGCACCTTCAGCTATACGTCTTAAAGCCTCACCTAAATCTCTAGCACCACAAACAAATGGTACTTTAAAGGGATGCTTGTTGATATGGTTAACTTCATCTGCTGGGGTTAAAACTGAAATATATTTTTGTGACTAGGTTAAGCGTATTGATTATTAATATTAGTGTATTTCTTCCAAATTTTAGAAACAAGCTCTTGATAGAAAAGAAAGAAAACATGCAAAGGTACCTTCAGATTCGTCAATCATGTCGACCCCTAAAGATTCTAAGATCTGAGCCTCGGCAAAATGTCCAATACGAGATTTGGCCATCACTGGAATAGTTACTGCTTTTATTATCTCACTGATAATCTGAAATCAAAGAACAATTTCGTCAAACCCCAACTTGTTAAAAAAGAGTTAAAATATGTATTCAAAAAAATATTGAATGAAAAACAACAATTCATTTAAATACAGATCAAGATGTCCCGTTTTGTGTTTTTTCTGTGGGATAACTAAACTTGCCATCCATGATCTAAAGAAAATAATAATTAAATGTTGCCTGACAATAATGAATATCCCAGATTTTCACATGAAGGTGAATATTTTATTGAACATGTGATTGGTTGAATTTAAATAAACTAGTACATGAGATGCATAACAACTTCGTCAGATCTTGGAGGACATGTGTAGTCAAACACAAAAAAACCTGGAAATGGAACACTAATATCTGTATTTGAATCAGATTGGAAAACAGAATCATAATCTGAAACTAATAGATATTGTGAGCAAAACCAAGATTGGGTACCATGAAATATTTTCACTTGATGATGACAATGTAAATTGTTGAAACGAAGTGTATATAATAAAACTTGGGAATAGTATACCATAAAATTGTGTTTCGTTACTTAATACTTAACATAAAGTCTACAATGTACCTTGGGATCTGTCATCCTAGCTACACCTCCATCTCTTCTGATATCTGCTGGAACTCTTTCCAAGGCCATTACGGCACATGCCTGGAATGAGAAGAAAATGAAATAAATGTACAAAATTTGCTTGATTTTTAGTACTTAAAGATGGGTTCCCTTATTTCTATATATGAAACTGAAAATACTCATATGAATAGAAAGTTGAGGTGTTCTAATGACTTGGAAAATATCAGTTTGTCTCACATGTCCATAATTAATTCATAATTAGCTAAATTAGAAGAGAATTACTAGCTTAACAGGCTCTAAGAACCACTTTGCGTATAGGGACACCGAATGTTTTGAAAAATGTCAGCATGTCTAGCTTGACGGGCCGCGGCCTGGGTTCTATATGGTCGCCATGAGAAAAGGTTTTTCAAATGCTTACCCCGGCATCCTCTGCAATTCTGGCTTCGTCAGCATTAGTAACATCCATAATTATTCCACCTTTTGCCATCTGAGCTAGCCCAGCTTTCACCTTAAAGGTTCCTGAAATCAAAGCTAAATGTGACAAATTATTTACTTATATCAATCTTGACTTTTGTTATGAATCTATCATCGAGAAAACCAGTAGATTATTTAGAGGAAGGGGCCTCTGGGTCAAGTCAAAACCCTCGACCAATCAAAATTGCAACTGTGTATACTGTAAAACCAAGGAATCCCATCTTTAAAAAGCATGGAAGTGTTTGCAATAAACAAGTGCGGACTAACCTGTTTTCATACCAATTCCAGGAACCGATACTAAATTGGTCACTTCAATTCCTACAGAACAAAACTGACGAAATCAATCAAGAACGACATAATCTTTCATTTGATTATAAAAAGCATGATTTATTGTATCAAGAAAAGAATATGAAAGCATCCCTTGAAAAACTTGAAACTTGAGTCAAGTCTTAAAACGTCTATTATGTACATTTCGATTTCCCGGCTGACATCTGTGGGTCCTCTGATTCTAGAAAACTTTTCACAGATCATGTCGCTGTTTTCACATATTCTCAAATACCATTTAAAATCTCCTTTTAGCATTCGTGGAGACAAATTCGAGTTCAGTTTTTCACAGTTGTAGGATAAAGGGACGGGACAAAGTGCCCCTCCATATAGATCCCTGGTTCCCAACCTGGGCTGTTTTCAGCCCCTGGGGGTGTGAGACTAGGGTCTCAGGGGTGTGGTGTGTAGGAGAAGAATTTGTTCAGAGTTGAGAGAGCACACCACATCATCACATGCTCTAAATGTGGATGAAGCAAATTTTTGGGGTGTGAGAGGACCAGATGATTGCTCTAAGGTTGGTAAGGCTGAAATAGGTTTGGAACCACTGATATAGATCGTAGAACAAATCTTTTTAGAGCAATCTTAAATTCATGAATCACCTACCATTATTATTTCCGTTTGTGACGTTGTCCATTTTTTCTTCTAAATCAGCGAAAATAAGCTCTGAAAAAGACATGACTACGAGCTACAAAAAACAGACAAAAGCATCAAAAAGGAAAGGAGTATATTATTATATATCTAGGAATATAAAATTTGAACTGGAACCCAAACCTACATTTTTCCTGTTTATTATATTCCATGCTGCCCACATCACGTTTATTCGTATCCCTGGATATCAACTATATAGAACCGAATATAGAGCTATATTAAGGCCTATCTATAATTATGTATAATTGCTCTCTTTTGCTAAATCATATTAATAAAACACAAATGAAATGAATGAGATTAACGTCCAACTTTTCTGCAACTTTTCTGATATTTACCACATCATCCCCCTCCTATTTTTACACCACTAGAAAGGGGGGGGGGGGGGATTGAAAATCTAAAGCTATAATCTCGACACAAAAGATATAATCATAAGCTCCTACAAATGTATAGTCATACCTTAAAAAATCCACAAAAAATCCACAAATGAGATCACAACTGATTTCTCATTATGGGCGTCTTGAAGGTGAAAATCGCTGATGAAATGCTCAAGGTTGAATTTGTCATTTGATTTGTAATTTCTAATTGGTTGTACTGAACTTACAGCAAATTTCTAAATATATTTTAACTTCGAGGTGTAATAGAGCGTCATTTTGTGTAAAAATCATAATGAATAAACGTACCTTACCAAAATGTTCTTGTCCAAATTTCAGCTTCCGAGTCGCGCACAATTGGTGGATCTTTGTTAAGGGTGTACTTTAATGAACGATATATCTGGAATATATCAGCAGTAATCCTGCGTATTTATTATATCCTCTTATTAAAGACAAATTGTTATAAAATCACGAAACTTCTAGTTATCATCCGTGTCTAATGATAGCCTAATTCTTACGTAACCTATACACATATTGGACAATACCAAGTTCTGGACGATGACACAAATAACCGCCATCTTAGAATTGAAAATTGTTATAGTTGCTGGTAGATTTAAATTCAGCTATCCGTAGTATATTATTCATTGCTTCATTTTCCACAATGTTGCTACTCTAGTTACACATATAAAAATGTTATATCTAGAATACTGTATATGCTGTATATGAAAAATGACGATCTACAGTAACGTTATCAGTAGGCCTACTGTATAAGTGTCTCTCGACTTTTAGTGACATATTCAATGTACAAAATTGCAAAATTGGCACTTCTGAAATATAAGAAAATGGCGTCCATTGGTTATTTTGTTTGTCAATGTTATATAATTTTAGTAGATGCCGGTGTGTCCAGAATGATTTTGATCTAAATTGTCTGATGTAACCACAATGATAAGTTATCAACACAATGGAAATATTTGTGTCAGTTAACTGAAGAATGTCATTAACGTACATTGTTTGTCTCTTGGTTAATTATTACATCAGAAAAAAGTTCATTTACCAAGGACAAATTCATTCCTTCATTTGACTTACTCAAAGATAACAGTAGGATTGCTTCGAAGCAGGTAAATTGTTTTTCTTATCACCGTGATGAAAATTGTACCACAGTGACCATCATTTAAAGGCCATGATATGCCATTCAGCTTGATTTCGGTCTTGAATATATGTAACAGATGTACTAGAGCTGCAGGAAAATCGCATAATTCCTTCAAATATACCTCAATTTAGAAATCCCACATTCTATTTCTGTATATGTGTTTTCTCTATATGGCAGAATCTTAAGGAAAGACGAGTCGTCATTCTAACTTTTTTAACATTGATTTGAAGGCTCAAATTCCGACGGTGAGCTGTGAACACTATTAATGATAGCTGAACAATTCCCGTTTCTGAGACTATGGTACGATTGGTCAAACTGAAGCAAAAAAGTTTTGTCCGTTTCTATTCATTTTATGATTTTGTGATTCCATAATATTGACATGCCCATTCAATGGAAATTTTATAAACGAACCCACCCTGTTTACAACCAAACTTTATTCCCAAATTGACTTATCATTTATATCTATCCCCTTTTTCAGAGACACCATACAGAAAGAGTAGTTCGAGATGTCAAACGGTATTACTACGAAACTACGAATCGGTGTCTTAGAAGTGCAAGGAGCCTTTCAAGAGCATAAGAATGCTTTAAACAAAGCCGCTAAAGAACTGAACGATCGTTATATTCTAGTGGAAGTGACCGAAGTTCGGCATTCTGATCATATAACTGACGAATTGAATGGTTTGATCATACCGGGAGGCGAGAGCACAGCGATAAGCCTATTTCTAAAGAGAAACAACATGGAGGAACCGCTTAGAACATGGATAAGAGACAAGAATCATATAACGTGGGGAACCTGCGCCGGAATGATTTTGTTGGCCAAGGAAACAGAACATCAAAAGCAAGGAGGTCAAATCTCAGTAAGATTTTCAGATTTTGTCCTTTTTTAAGCTTACAAATTCATCACACTATTCAAGGTTTAGGACACAGATTAGCCAAAACGTCGCTTGAAGAAGACAAACAGAGAAAGATCGTGTCAAAATATAGTTGTCGTCTGAATGTATGATGTATTTAGACAATTATCTCCCTTCTGGTGCTAACTTCAAACGGCCTGTTTGTGATATTGCAGACAGGCAACGCCAGACAGTCTGTAATGAAGCGAATTTTACAAAAATAGAGAAAAGCCTACGCTCTTTTCCATTCTTTCAATATTTATTGGTTTGAAATGCGTCTAACCTGAACGAACTTGAATCTGTAACTCACTCTTATAACGTTTTCGTTTTTTTTGTAAATTTCAGTTAAATTGTATGGATACGGTAGTTTCCAGAAACTATTTTGGACGTCAGATTAACAGTTTTGAAGCAGACTTCCGAATAACTGATCCAGATCTTATATCTAAAACTAATGCAGAAACAGACTATTTTCATGGAGTATTCATACGTGCACCAGCAATATTACGAACCACTTGTTCAGACGTAGAAGTCCTAGCTACATTAGAAGAGAATTCAGAATCTAGCGTCATTGTTGCTGCCCGACAAGGAAATATACTTTGTACCTCGTTCCATCCAGAACTCACTGAAGACACGAGATGGCATCGGTACTTTTTAAAAATGATTTTGAATCGGGTGGTTTAATGTGGATGTAATCATACGAAACTACTTGTCATTCTTATATAGATATATAGGCCTCACAGGCATGAACTTGATTGACTGACATTTAATCACTTCTCCAGATCGAATCAGTAGTTTCGTATGCTCATTTGATATTGCAGCATACAAAAGAAATTCATCAATTAAAGATACATTTCCCAAATCAAAATGTCGATTATATCTTATCTTTAAAAGATGGGAACAATTGTATATATTTTCCTTATATATTAATTGATAATTTTATGCCTAAGAATCTATCATGGCACTTCTGGATTAACTGGTTAAAGGTGGCTCAATGAGAGCACTGGGTTCAATTCCAACGTAAATAAAGGGCTTAGGACTGGTAGTATGATATGTTGTCGGACTGGTAGTATATAATTTAAGTGATGTTGTTGGACTGGTAGTATATAATTTAGGTGATGTTGTTGGACTGGTAGTATTATATGTTGTAGGTGATAATGTTGGGCTGGTAGTATATAGGTGATGTTGTTGGGTTGGTAGTATAATATGTTGTATGTGATGTTGTTGGGCTGGTAGTATATAGGTGATGTTGTTGGACTGGTAGTATAATATGTTGTTGGTGATGTTGTTGGGCTAGTAGTATATAGGTGATGTTGTTGGACTGGTAGTATATAATTTAGGTGATGTTGTTGGACTGGTAGTATTATAAACTAGTGTCCAAAAGAAACGATACCACCTGTTTGCAACGACATAAAAGAAAAACTAAACAATGCAGAAGTTTAGGATTGGTGTTATGCTTTTGAGAAATCCTTTCACAACATCTGTACAAAAATTTCATTTCAATAAAATCACACCACACGTCACAAAGTCAAGTCAGTAGCGAGTATGTCCACCGTAAGCATCAATACATGCCAGAACACGCCTACGGACTGATGCCGTCAAACGTCTGATGACGTTGGGAGTGATTCGTTGCCATTCCTCGAGGAGACATCGTTCCAAGTCCTGGACGTTGACTGGAGCCACACGGCGACGTCGGATTTGCCGATCGAGGTGGTCCCATAAGTGCTCGATGGGATTCATGTCCGGTGAACATGCGGGCCATGGCAAAACCTGTACGTTGGCGTTGGCAAGGAAGTTCTGTGTCAATCTTGCTGTGTGTGGCCTTGCATTGTTATGTTGGAAAAGTCCACGAGGCTGTTGCTGAATAAAGGGCACCACAACAGGCCGTAGGATGTCATCAATATAACGCTGTCGTTCAGGTTTCCACGAATTACGACAAGCCTCGTTTTGACGTCACCACATATGCCACCCCAAACCATTAACCCTCCACCTCCAAACGACCGGACCTGTTGGATACAGTTAGGCGCCAAACGTTCACCAAATCGTCGGTATACAAGCTGCCGTCCATCGTTTTTGAAGATGAGGAATCTGCTCTCATCAGAGAACATAACACGTACCCAGTCCCGCCGTTGCCAACGTCGAACCCGCCTGGTCCAGATCAGTCTGTTGTTCCGGTGTCGAGGCGTCAGGAGCGGTCCGCGGTAGGGATGACGTGGCCGGATACCATACTGCCGTAGTCTCCTGTAAACGGTCTGTCGACTGATCCTGTGTCCCAGTGCTGTAGTCGCCGTGGACGTCGCTGTTACGGTGTGGTTCCTCAGGTGTAATACCCGGATGTACCGATCTTCACGGGGCGTGGTTACTCGTGGTCTTCCACTCCTGGGCCTGTCTGACGTCTGACCTGTCTGACGTAACCGCTGCATCAACCTGGTGATAGTGATGCGTGCGCAGCCCAACCTTCTGGCGACGTCGACGTGTGTCGCTCCTTGTTGAACCATTCCAACGGCTCTCTCTCTCTCTCGATGGCTGTCAAACGTGGCATATCTTGTGTTCTTTTTGTTGCTGTGATATCAACGTGTCTGATCAGCCGTTTTATACAGTTTTTATGCACGTGCAGAACATGCTAGACAGGGAAATGTCACTTTCACGAAATTTACGTTTTTTCCCGGAAGTGATCACATGTTCCCGGTATTTTTATCGACTATGCTGTGTTTGGGATGTGCAATACGAATTGGCATGTTTTCATATTAGACAATTCACTTAGTAAAAAACAATTTTCAAAATAAGTTGGTATCGTTTCTTTTGGACACTAGTTTATGTTGTAGGTGATAATGTTGGGCTGGTAGTATATAGGTGATGTTGTTGGATTGGTAGTATAGTATGTTGTATGTGATGTTGTTGGGCTGGTAGTATATAGGTGATGTTGTTGGACTGGTAGTATAATATGTCGTTGGTGATGTTGTTGGGCTGGTAGTATATAGGTGATGTTGTTGGACTAGTAGTATAATATGTTGTAGGTGATGTTGTTGGACTGGTAGTATATAGGTGATGTTGTTGGACAGGTAGTATTATATGTTGTTGGTGATGTTGTTGGACTGGTAGTATATAGGTGATGTTGTTGGACTGGTAGTATAATATGTTGTAGGCGATGTTGTTGGACTAGTAGTATTATATGTTGTAGGTGATGTTGTTGGGCTAGTAGTATAAGATGTTGTAGGTGATGTTGTTGGACTGGTAGTATATAGGTGATGTTGGACTGGTAGTATATAAGTGATGTTGTTGGTGATGTTGTTGGGCTGGTAGTATATAAGTGATGTTGTTGGACTGGTAGTATAATATGTTGTAGGTGATGTTGTTGGACTGGTAGTATTATATGTTGTAGGTGATGTTGTTGGGCTGGTAGTATAAGATGTCGCTGGACTTAAATTTGGAGGTAGTAACGGACGTGTGGCAAGAGAAGTGTTTGGTAGTACAGGATGTTGTTGGACGGATAGTGGGGAATGCCGACAAACTGGTTGTAGGGGATGTTGTTGGACTGGAAGGCGGAGATGATGTCGGATTGGTGGTAGTGGATATTGTTGAACTGGTAGAGGGTGGTGTTATTGGACAGGTAAAGGGCGACGTTGTTGGACTGGTAGTAAACGATATTGTTGGACTAGTGTTATGAGAGATTG